ACACCAGTAGAAGTGCCAGTATCTCCTTCACACTGCTCCGTAATTCAACTCGTTAGGCTTTAGCGCTCGGCTGACGAAAGGTGGCTGGATGACAGATCCCATCATGCACTTGTACCAAAGCTGCCGAGATCGCCCAATCGCTAGCATAGCCTATCACCGTAGGCTGATGTTCTGGAATCCAAAAAATGGCGCGAGGGGAATGGGGGTGTCCGTTCCGCGGTCCCCTTTTTCCCTTTAATTTTCACAAAAGCGCAATGTTGAGACTCTGGATATCACTCGGGGGCTCTCATTTTGTTCTGAGGTTCCTCTTCGCTCAAATTTCCTTCCCGATTCGAATTCTCTCAAATTTGTTCTCGGGGTTGATTCTTTGTTCCTGCTTCATGGTCGGCCTCCCTGGCGGTCGTGGCCATGTGAATCCCCCATGTGGATCCGGGATTTCCAGGGCCAGAGCTTGTTGGATCTTGGTTCGGACAGCCGAAGTAGCCATTGCAGCAAAAGTCCACCTTCTCTTAAATTCATAGAGGACTGCAGCGAAGAGTGCGTAATCCTCAATAAACCGACTGTAATCATTCAACTGCTCAAGAAGAATTGCATCGCCCGTAGCGACTGCGAGAAAGACAAATCTGCAAACAAAGCCAGGTCCTTAGGATTCGCCTCCAATCCCTCCTTGGAGACTCGATGACCTAAGCAATCCACCTTGCGCATCTCCCAATAGCTCTTCACCACGCTGATAGAGAGATTCCATTTATTACACGCCTTGTTACTCTCTCGCACAGCTGATCCCATGATTCCGCTGGGATCAGAATGTCGTCGATATAGGATCTGCGCCCTAACACGGATGGTGTCCCCAGATCGCCTGGCTCGGCTGCTTCGAATGGGTCTGCTTCCGCATCACTTTCTCCGGATCCACCTCTTGCGGGTTCCGGTATTCGGGTGAACCCGTAGAGGGCATTATCTATCAGGCGTTGATAGATCTGTGGTGCACTCTTCAATCTAAACGGCATCCGGCTCCATTCGAAAAGTCCAGACGGTGTGATGAATGCGGATATTGCGCGAGCTCGATCCGTCATAGTCACCACCCAGAAACCACTGGCCATATCTAGAGAAAATACCATAGTACTTTTTCAAATCTTTCAATAGCTCATTGATTAGAGGCATTGAATACACCATCAGTCAGGTCAGGCCGTTAAGTAGCCGGTAATCAATACACAGACGTATATCCACTCCGTTATTCTTAATGATGATCACCACAGGAGACGCCCACGGGGAGGTGAGAAACTGATGATTTTGGCTTGCAACAGACCTTTAATCAGATCCGAGAGCTTTTCTCGAAATTGGGG